GCGTATCAAAATATAATTTACTTCGAATCACATGTGAATCTATATTTTAGACATTGTACGCAAAAACCTATTATACACCACACCTGTGAAAAAGATTGTAAAATAACAACGGTTATTTGTAATAAGTAGGTGTTACATTTCACATCTGTTTTAATTAGGACCATAGAGTGTTTTCAATGGATGTAACATAATCGAATTCAAGTTTCAATGTTAATATCATAAAAGATAATTTATTAAACTAAATATCATACCATTCAACTTTATAATCCTAAAGCTTGTTTAAAAAAAAATAAGAACAACAAATACAAATAAACACACACACTGCTTGGATATGAAACAATATTTTACGTCTCTGAGAAAGACGAATAAGATCATATAAATATTTTTTAAATTTCACCTAATTGTTTACTTTTAATTACTTAATGTTAATTTAACACCCATACTTGTTAATCTATCTTTATTACGTCCATAAATATCAGTTAAATCCTTATGATGTTTATCTCGATCACATCCAATTGAAAAATTTGCAGTATGCATACGATGTAAATGTGAAATCATTGGTAAATAAACATTTAAATGTCCATGGATAAGAAATCTTACATAAAGATCAAGATCTTCTGCCATACCAACTTTTTCATCATAACCACCGACTTCATCATAAAGTTTTTTACTGAAACAAACATTACCTTGAATAAAATGGCAACTATCAAAAATAGCTTGAAGCATTTCATGTGGTGATGAATAAACCCATCCATAATAATCTTCTTTTGGCATATATTGAAGATGTTCATTAACACGAAGAAAATCCGAAACATAAAATTTCTTTGTTGGATTGAGTAAAATAGCATGAGCAAAATTATGAATTGTACGTTGAAGAAATATATCATCATCATCCTACAAGAAAACAGATTTTATTTTAATTTATAAAGATTTTAACTTACTAAAACACAAATAAATTGTCCAGTACTTTTTTGTATACAAATATTTCGTGCTTGACTTGGTGGAACTTTATGTTCTGATCGAATAAATGTTACATGATCAGCTAATTCACCTTTACCACCTTTACGTAAATCTTCAGTTGCTTGAATCCATTGTCGATCTTTTGTTGCTTCTTTATTATCACCTTGATCTTTAATGTAAAAAATACGTTGAGGTGGTAAATTTGCAATAAAATAATCTTTTGTTCCATCAGTTGAACCACAATCATGAATAATATGTTCAAATTCAATATCAAGTGGTGCAAGACAACTAACTGAAACGGACATAACAGCTTCTTTTAAATATTCTAATCGATTATGACTTGGTGTTACCACCGAGATTTTTAATTTTCGACCATCTAATTGATTCATTTTGAATGAAAATTTAACTAACAAGAAGAAGAAATAAATCTAAAAGAAAGTAAATGATGTTTTTACAAGGGTATATAAAGAAATGCTCGTTTACAGTCATCAAGTACATTTTGCTTCTCTCAGTTCTAACCTTGCCTATTCAACGCGTGATCATACACGTGCTCTTATACAAACATCGTTTGTATTGCTTCTTAACGAATGCTATTGTATACATTTGAATATACCATCTGACTCTGTTACTTTTTTGCACTGAACATCATGAAAATTTCAGACTGATAATTTTTATTTTCATTGGCTGAAAATTTATAAGTTTTAATCATTTGTCATTGTACTTACTTAAATAAAATGTTTATAACGTCTATGATTTTTTTTTCTATTATCAAAATACGTAATTCTTATATTTTTATATATTACACAATAAAGTATGTATTCCAATAGACTTAAAAATCGCTTTTTAAATACATAGGCGTATTTACGAATGCAAGAAAAAAACAAAGAATAATCATTCATTCATTTATTTATTCTCTACTGTTTTTTTTATTACATACACAAGTATTTTTATATATATTGCTTAACCATATGATGGTGTCCTCTGTTGATATAACAATATATTTATACAAATATTTTACATATATTAGAATAATCGCAACGACTATTTCACATTTAATACTACGATTAACTTGCTAAGATTGAATGATAGGAATTTTTTATTTTCAATGAAAATAAAAATCAGGACTTAAATGTCTATTATAAATTAATAATTGAATAAAAAATACTTCTTTTTCATTCGTATAATATCATAAAAATGTATTTAATCGATAATCAAAAATATAAGAAAGAATGTCACATAGGACATTCATATACACGTAGTACCTTACATTTCTTATTCACAGCAACTATATGTGGCGTTTTGTAATTTCCATGTGTCTGTTCCTAGCACACATCAATTCACTTTCATCTATGAAAAGAAGTGAAATTTTTTCTTATCGACGAATTCGTTCATCTAGGTTACGTGATGATCATTCTGTGACCGAAAACTCTATTGTTCATACTACAAGCATATTAAATGATACATTGGGCAAATGTTTAACACAATCGACGCATATTGATTCACCAAAAAGTAAAATCATTACTGATAATCAAAGACAAAATTATGCATTATTAGCAATAAGGTCATCTTGGAATATAGCTATGGGCACTAAATCACAGGAACGTGATGATAGTGATGAACATGACCCTGATTATGATGAAGAATATGGTTCTGGTGAAACAGGTGATCACTCAGAATTACATTCTTATCAAGTCATATTTACTTTTCCTGATTCTATTGAAAATGGATCAATTCTTAATCAAACAGTATTCATTACAGATCCAATAAAAAATCACTTAATAGCATCCGTAACTTTGATATGTATCAATGGATCATCGTTTATTATTAATTATTCAACTAATCAACCATTACCACATAATGTTTGTTTATTTCTCTTATTAAATATAACATCACCTGCTACAATAAGAGAAATCTTTACTTGTCAAGTAATTAATGCCAATTCTTCTACTGATTATGAACATGCGGTCGAGAGTCATGCTGCCGGACCCAGTGCAGTTTTTATTATTGCACAAGGTATTATGATTTTTATTATGATGATGATTATATGTCTAGCACAAGTATTTAAAGAAAAACATGTTGTTAATCGTTTTGGTCAACATCTTCATCGTATGCAAATGCCTCGAGCAGTTCTTAATGGTATTATTCAAGATCCAAATGGAATGCCACGAAATATGAGATCACCATCTATTCAAGATCAAGTATTGGCAGCAAATGATTTAACAACAACAACTCCTGGTACAAATCGTCCAGATCAGGCATTAATTAATATTAATGAACTTACTAACCGAATGAATACATAATATAAATCAAGAAAAATATATATTTAATAAATAAAAAAAAATTATTAATTTTCTTTAGCAACAAGTACTTCGTGAATACGAATATCAGTTGAATTCATAGGTATGCTATTATTTTCAACAATTTGTTGACGATATGCTAATCCAATAGTATAAGAATGTTTACTTAATGAATCTAAATATCTATCATAAAAACCTTTTCCATGTCCAAGACGACAGCCATCCAGAGAAAATCCTAAACCAGGTACAATTATAAGATCAATATTTGTTGTTGCTATTTCTCGATCTATATCATCTAAAGATGGTTGTCGTATATTCCATTTTGTCATTGGTAATGAATCAAGATCATCTAATGAATGAACACGTACCATATCCATTGATGTTGAACTATAACGTGGAATGAAAACATGTTTATGAGATTTGAATGCATGTTGTATAATATCACGTGTTGATACTTCAGTATTCATATGAACATAAACAGATATTGAATGTGAAGATAAATATTTTGGATGATGAAGAAGATAATTTGTAACTATATTTGATTGTTGAACACGTTCTTCATTAGTCATTAATTTAAGTGCATGACGAATCTGTTGACGAAGAAGTTGTTTTGCTGAATGAACCATTATGAATCACGTCAAAGATGTTTTTTAAGGATTAGATTATCTTCTAAAAATAGATTTTACTACTAATAAATTCAACTATATAAAATCATTCAGATTTCATAATAAAAAAAATAGGATAGACTCTTTATCAAGGTCTTTTTGAAGATAAAACAAGAGATAAGTGAAAGACAATTTTTTTTCTATCAAAAAACGTATTATAATTACATAAAGAAAAAATATTGACTTGATTTTAAAGTATTTTTCTGTCCTGCATTAGTCATCTAATTCTAGCGTAGGAATAGTTCGAGAATACTTTTATCGATTAATTTAATCTGCAATTAATTTTTGTCTTTTTATTCCTTTTCTAATTCACGTCTGATTTTATTACGATTTTAATCAATTTTACAAAGATCTATAACATTAATGGAATTCATCAAGTCGTTTAAATTCATTTGACCAGTTACATGAAGAAGGCTGATTAATAGCATGATCATTTTTGTATCTTCTTCGCACGAAAATGATATAGTTTTGTTATCGGATTATTCATATTCAAATAAATAACAGGTATAAAAGATGTCACCAGATTTTTAAATAATCAATAAATATTTCATATAAATTTAAATATTCATTAACATTTTCTATCGATAGATTACTGTTATTTTAAATTTACTATGCTTAAACAAAAATATGATAATATTAAATTTATATATTTCTGAAATATAAAGAAATAAACAGTAATATCAACTGTATATTCAGTTGAGACGATATTATCTTTACGTATAAGAAAAATAATTAATTAGGGTGCGGATGTGGTTGTAAAGAGAACACCAACACCCACACCCTCAAGATGACACTAGTGATCAAACGATACAAATCCTTCGCTTCCTACAACCATCTCAAAATATTTCTATCGATTATAGTCTTAAGAAGTTTATAATGAATAGTTCATATTCAAATCTTCTCTCTGTTTATTTTCAGAATTACTTCTTCCTCCTCAAGTACTATTCAATTCAATTAACTTCGGTTGGTCACAAATTAACATCCAATATATTGGTATATACACAGAAAAATGTTTCGATTTCTTCCTTTTTCCTAACATTTATATTTAATAGAAATAACTTATAAAACAAATAATCTCATGTTAATCAAACTATTAAAATATTATTCATTATCTCTAGTAGTTTCTGTAAAACGTTCAGCTACTATTCAATCTGGCGTTAATTTAAGTTATCAAATGGAACTATTAAACGATAATAAACAATTTAAAAAGGCACTCGAATTATTTGAAGACCATACGAAGAATAGTACTAAAACATTTTCAAGCTCCATCATTACACAAGCTTTAAAAGCATGTACTCATCTAGGAGATCTTGAACGTGGAAAGACTATTCATCAACTTATTTCATCACGTACAAAAGATGATTTTTATATAACGACATCATTAATTCATCTCTATAGTAAACTTGAATGAGAAATTTCTTTTTTATTTTCTTCTCTTGTATAGTGCAATGTTATGATCTGGCATCTGCTGAATTATTATTTGATACAACAGCAAAAAAAAAATTATCAATATATGGAGCGATGATGAAAGGTTTAAATAATCTTCTTTAATTATAATTATATTCAATCAAATCGTTTCTCTTTAGGTTATATAAAAAATAAGCAAGCAAAGAAAGCAATTGATCTTTTCAATCAAATTGATAAACCCGATGAAATAACTATCAATCTCTTTTTCAATGCTTGTGCACAATTAGGAACTCCAGAAGCACTAAATTTAGTAAATCAAGTCTCAAACAAAATTCCAAAATTATTTTATTCAAATTCGATTCTTATTGCTTCACTCTTAGATGCATTAATGAAATGTGGTGATGTTAAACATGCAGAATTATTATTCGATAAATCAAAAATTAGAGTACTATCAATGTATGGAGCAATGATGAAAGGTTTAAATAATCTTTTTTAATATTTAATCAACTAGTTTCTCTTTAGGTTATATAAAAAATAATAAAGCAAAGAAAGCAATTGATCTTTTCGATCAAATTAAAAATCCTAATGAAGTTGTTTTCATTCTGTTATTTAATGCTTGTGCTCAATTAAGAACTTTGGAAGCACTAAATCTAGTGAAACAAATTTCTTCAGAAATTCCGAAATCATTTCATTCAAATTCGTCTCTTATAACTTCACTCTTAGATGCATTAATGAAATGTGGCGATGTTCAACATGCAGAATCATTATTCGATAAATCAAAAATTAAAGTACCATCAATGTACGGTGCAATGATGAAAGGTTTAAATAATCTTCCTTAATTATAATTATATTTAATCAAATAGTTTCTCTTTAGGTTATATTCAAAATAATAAAGCAAAGAAAGCAATTGATCTTTTTAGTCAAATTAAAAATCCTAATGATATTATTATAAATCTCTTATTTAATGCTTGTGCACAATTAGGAACTCCAGAAGCATTAAATTTAGTAAACCGAGTTTCAAACACAATTCAAAAATTGTTTCATTCAAATTCAATTCTTATAACTTCACTCTTAGATGCATTAATGAAATGTGGTGATGTTAAACATGCAAAATCATTGTTTGATAAAACAACAAATAAAATATTACCAATGTATGGAGCAATGATGAATGGATTTAATTTGGAAAATAATCCAGAAGAAACATTAAATTTATTTAATAAAATGAAAGTTGATAATATTGAAGGAAGTATAGTTGTTTTCCTTTGTGTTATCAAAGCTTTATCACAAATCGGTGATTATAGTTTATGCCAATCGATTATTAAACAGATTCCCAATAGTTTTTTTGTTAATACTGAAATTCAGTATGCATTAATTGATATGTGGGTATGTTCAAATAAGATTTTCTTTTGACATTTTCCTATTGAAATACAACTGAATTTAGGGAAAATCTGGTCATGTGGATCTTGCAAAAGAGATTTTTGAAAAACTTTCACAACCAAATCAGGTCGAATACACAAACATGAGTTTGTTTTATTTATTTTCTTTGAAAAAAAACTTTATCATTTATGAATATTTAGTTAATGGTTATGGTTTAAATGGAATGGGTATCCGAGCTATTGAACTATATTATAAGATGCCAAAAGAATTTCTGGATGATGCGATATATGTTTGTATTTTAAATGCTTGTTCACATTCAGGACTTGTTCAAGAAGCTCGTTCAATTTTCGAAAGTATTGAAATGAAAACTGAGAAAGTTTATGGTGTTATGGTATAGCAGAGAATTTTTTTACTGTAAATTTGATTAATTTTTTATTAATTTAGATTGATTGTCTGAGCCGTGCATCGCTTTTTGATGAAGCTGAAAAAGTAATTGATGAATATGAATATGATCATTCACCATCATCATCCATGTATAGTTCGTATCATTTACTAAACTTAATTTATATTGCAATTAAAAACAAAGGATTTTCTATCTATTCTGCATTCAAAAGAGTATTTTTTTGATAAAAGATGACTTCATTTATTCTTATTTCATCTTTGTTTTATCTAATATCTGTTATACAAATAATTTGATTATTTTTATTTTAGTGGCAGTATTATCAGGTGCAAGAAATATTAAAAATGCTGGCTTATCACAAAAGACATACGACCATATGAAGAAACTTTTCTCTCAATCAACAAATCCTTTAACGTCAGCTGCAGTTCTTCTTGCAAATACTTATGCATCATCAGGTGATATTGAAAAAGCATCGAATATTCGAAATGAATTACACAAATCAGGTCAAAAGAAAAAAATGGGTCTCACATCGACTGTAGTCAATGGAGAATTCTATGTAAGTCTACAATTACAATAAACTTATACACAGATAATATAGTTTATACTTTTCTAGAAATTTCGAGCTCACGACCGCACTCATCCTCAATCGAAAGAAATCTATGCTGAAGTTAAAAAACTATCTGCAGAACTTC